CATAGATTAATTCACTTGTGTGTTAAATGGTATTATCTTCACTTATCTATAACCTGTTGATTGCTATAGCATTACATTATTTATATCTCTGTACTTAATTAACGGTAGATCGAAGGTGTGTATTAGTATTACGATGAGAATTTACTTGATGTGTAAACTTCATGAAAACTAATGAAAGGTTGTTGTATTACAATTTGCATTGCGTATATCCCTGTAATTACGTTTATCCATCAAATGTGATTGGAGCCTTGGAAATGTAAATGAAGAAGGATGCTAACGTCAAAGCAGGGGTCATTGTGTTCAACAATGGAAATTCACACACCCAGTCTGCATTTAGTCAACAAAGGAGAAGCCCATGCTCTGAATGCAAACACTTGCCAGATGGCTTTCCGTGGAAAGGAGCTATAAGAATGGATACAGGGAACAATCCTGTATCTCTGAACAATTTGGACACTCACAGGGAAGCATTCCAGATGCAAGACAGAGATCCCCATAGTTATTTTGGGTAACCCTGAGAGACTTATGGAAAACTAGCAAATTACTACATTTCTACTATCATTTTGGACTTACAAACTTAGACTCACCTGTTAATGTATTTTACCTGCTTTAAACTTTCAATAACTCTCATTAATTTTTTTAGCTAATAAACCTTTAGTTAGTTTACTAAAGAATTGGCTGCCAGAGTTATCTTTGGTAAGATCCAGAGTACCAATTGACCTAGGGGTAAATAACTGACCCTTTGGGGTTGGGAGTAACCTGAAATGGTATGATTTTTGGTTTATCACTAAGTCCAGTTGTCTGAGTGACAAGAGGGGCCGGGAGCCTAAGGGGACTGTCTGTGACTCCATGGCAAGACTAATACACCTCTACCCCGATATAACGCGACCCGATATAACACGAATTCGGATATAATGCGGTAAAGCAGCGCTCCGGGGGGGGGGGCAGTGCTGCGCACTCCGATAGATCAAAGCAAGTTCGATTTAACGCGGTTTCACCTATAACACAGTAAGATTTTTTGGCTCCCGAGGACAGCGTTATATCGGGGTAGAGGTGTATAATGATCCAGGAGTTCACACTTGTTACTGACTTGGTGAAATCTAATTATAGAGTATATCACCAGTTTGGGGTGTCTGCCCTCTTTTCTGACAGTCTGATCTGAGATTGGCATTCGTAGTTGTGAGCCACTCCAGAAAGTGTCACAGTAAGTCTCCAGAATTTTTTCTCACAGTTTCATAAAATGAACTAAAGGTTTTGATTAATTTAAAAACAACTACTGTGGCTTATATTTAACATTGTATTACCAGTTCCCAGTTTTAAAACCCCTTTCCCACTTACCCCAGTATCCTATAAATAAATCTTTCACCCTGTAAGAGCATATGAAGTCTTCAGTTATAGGAGTGATTTTCACCCTCTACCTCTGAAAATTTCTACAGAGGAAATGAAACCTTGGTGTGGTAAGTTATACTGTAGATGTTGCTGTCTTCCAGGTCTGTTTTCTTGGGCCTGATTCTGCAATGTGTGCAAATTTCTATTATGTTACATGGGGGAACTTCTTCCTGCTTGGTCATGGCCCCACAGCAGTTACATCCCACTGGAAAAATGGAAGTGTCAACTAAAAGAGAAATACAGAAAATAGAGTTTTCCCTGCAGCTGCCCTAGAGCCATTGAACTTGCTTCTGGAAGAGAACAGGATGACAACGAACCTTGCAGAAATGAAAAACTAATGTCTTTGCTCTAGTGTTCTTTCAATAATCATACAGTAAAAAGAAAACACATAGCCTTCCCCCCTCCCCAAAAAACCCCTCTTTCCCTACAAGATGAGGCGAGGTGGATGGAGGGAGAGATCATGCATTCACTTTGATAAATTTCTGATGTGCTGAGGTAGCAGAACGATGATACGATATCAAAACCTAGAGTGGCAGACCCTGTTCATATTACCTGGTATATAATTGCTTTTTTTGGAAATTCAGCAGAGATTAGTCAGTGGACTCATCAAATTAATTATAAAATTCCATGTAAAATAACATTGCCCCTTTGCTGAGCCACAGCTGATTTCTGGGCCTTACAGGTCAGCTTCCCATTGGAGCAGAAGTTGGTGACGAAGATTTGGGATTTATTCTGAGTGTAATTTGTTTGTACATAGAGTGTATAGTTTCCTTGAACAGGGGAGGCCACAATCAACATACAGGCAATCCACTACTACAAAAACCTCAACTAAAACATCATTGATCCTTGACCCAAGAAGCAGCTCTCTTGGACACTCTTGGAATCTCAGTGCTTAAATACACTAGTCCCTTCTCAACAGCTGGGCTTCTCACCTGGGGGGAGCCTCTTGCCCCAAAGCAGTTTATTTAAACAGCACATGACTTCAGAAGAGTGAGTCTGGACATCAACCTCTAGCCCTTTGTTTGCAGCATTGTTATGTAAAGAAAAGGAATCTCGGAAAAGGTTGACTGCACAGATGAAGGGTGCCTTAACCCACAGTGAATACAGTGAGAGTATCTGAGAGTCTATAGATCTCAAATCAGAACATGCATGACATTAACATGTCTTTTTTTATCCTAGTTATCCTTAGATTGTAAAGTGAAACACCCAAAAGTCAGGAAATGATAAGGTGAAGATTCCCTGCACAACCTTAACTCTGCCCTCTTGTGCACATGGATTATGATATAGTTTTAAATTCATTATCACATTATTTTTCCAACTGGGCCCCTGAGATGTTCAGCGCTCAAGATCAATGGTACTCAGCAAATGAAGCAGCACTTCAATAGTTTGTTTTCTCCTTATTGTTTAGTGGCCCCAGGCCTCTCTTTTTGCACATCATAAAATTAGCTTGGCCACATGGGAGCAGGGTTTATGTGGCACGGGAAATGAAAACTGACTGTTTCTCTGTTTTACATTTACATTTTTATTAAAATGTTATATGAATTGATTTTAACCCATTTAGATATAGAAAAAAATTAGAAACAAACTTAAAAAAATCACGTGTGATACAACAGCAGAAAAAGAAGTTGAATTAAAAACAAAATATTGAAAGCAGTTTGTCAGAGGAACAGATTTTGTTTGCTGTTAACAATATTTGAAAGAAAACAAGATCATGGTGAACTTGGACTTGTAGCTGCTTTGCATACTCATCATTATTAGCAGTGATCCATGTTACAACATTACCTGTGCTTAGTTAGGAGTATGCCTGAGTCAAGCTGTCACAGAAACTGTATTTAGTGCTCTTCCATGACCTCTGCATTTTAAACAATTTTACTGTGATTTTCTCCTTTGTATTTTTACATTTGGTTCAAATCATTTTTCTGTGGGTTGAAGAAGGATTCAAGGCTATTAGATTGAGGGGGACCATGTCCTGTTTGGTATGTTGCAGGCAGTTTGACCATCCTGTAGAGCAATCAGGAAGGGAATCTGGTTGGGGGAGGAAAGGGTGTTGTAATATTTGTGACTCCCTCATGGCTTTTGCCTTTGTCCTTTGACTAAACTGTGGCTTTTGAGACCTGTCAGACCCTTTCCATAATACATATAGGACTTGTCTAGGCTAGGATTTGGAAGGTGTTAGTTTACACTTGTTAGCCTATTGTAGACAAGATAGTGTATCTTTAACACTGTTTAGCTCAGCTCAGCAGGGGGGTTCCTATTTCTATGTGAAGTGGTGTGTTGTCAAAGCACAGTACTCTCCCCACCTCTGCGGGGCCTCAGGGTGGGCTAAAGGAGGTGGCTCTGTCTTCCCCTCTCCCTAGCTTGGAGGTTTGTGTGGTGGTGGAAGAGCTCTTGATAAAATACTACAGTATTCTATAGCAGGGGTTCCCAAACTGTGGGATGTGTACCACCACTGGTGGTACATGAGCCTGATGTTCTACCAATTGACTTCACAATGTTTTTTTATGGCAGTGGTACATGAACTAATAAAGTTTGGGAGTTGCTGTTTCATAGTAATCATACTAAATACTGCAGTAGCATTCTTGTAAGAGGTAGTGTTTTGGATTACTGCTATAAAATACTATAATACATTTACTGAGGGTGCTTTTCCTTCCTTTCCCAGCCCAGAGATTGGATTGGCCTGGCAGGGGATTCCTCCTGGGTCTACTGCGGCTACTCCTGTGTTAGGGAGGGATTGTGGTGTTCTCATGCCAAGTCCTGGGGTTGAGTTCCTTGGATTGGTGGCTCTCTTTTCCCACCTTACTAACTAAGTCTAAGCACTTGGAGTAGGGTTCCCCCGCCCCCTTCTTCTATTGCCCTTGGAAGATGATTTCCAGGCTCTTTCTTGGTCCCGCCTTGCTCCACCCTCTGGCTCTGATATATAACCAAATACAGATCTAGTGTAAATGGCTCCCACGCTTTTGAAGAGAATGGAGTTGCACTCACTTACCTCAAGTCTGCGTTGAGTACCGGATATTTTTAAAGGTTAGACTAATGTGAATTTAACCTTTGGGCCATATTCAACCCATGTGAATCCACAGAAGTCAAGACTTACGCCAGGGATGAATTTGGGCCCAATAATAATATGTTATATATTAGCTCTCGTGTCATTTTTTAAAACACCTAACAGGTTGGTGATTTGCAATCCTGGGGTTGGTTAGCTGTGGTAAGGGGAGACGTTTATTGCATGGTGTCCTTTTCCTTCCCGTCTCCTGTGCCCGGAGATCCACTCCAGGTTTTCCTTTCCGCTCTGCTTCTCTATTTCGCCTATGCAATGTGTAGCACGTTTCTCTCTCTCTCTCTCTCTCTCTGTGTGTCTCTTTCCCTCAATCACTGTGTCTGTCTCCAGGATTTCTCCCTTCCTACTTCAGGAGGCTGCTCCTGCAGGCTCCGTCCGCGTGTGTGAAGCAGAGGTTCCCCTGGATCCCGTAAATACAACCCTGTATGCATTCTCACCCACCCACACAGAGTAACACCACCAGAGGCGCGCGCGCACACACACACACTCACACACACTTGTGCATTCTCCAGTCCATCCCCACACGGGCAGACAGGGAGTGAGGGCTCGCCAGCCCCACACAGGCAGGCACAGCTCAGTGGCTCCAGGATTTTGCTGCCCCTGTCTCGGGACTCCGATCCGCAGCAGCCAGCCAGACCTGTGTGTGTCGCGGGGGGGGTTGTTCGAACTGGGAAAGAAGAAGCGGGCGGGGGGCGGCCGCTGCTGCTCCTGACACCGCTAGTGTGTGCGCACATCTCCCCTTCGGCTTATAAAAGTTTGCCTCAGCAAGCCGGGGGGCTCCTCGCTCCCCCTCCGCTGGGGGACCCGGTCTGCTCCTCACCCTGGAGGCACCTCGCCTCTGTTCGCAGCGGGTGAAGGTGGGACCGTTCCCCAGGATTTATTGAGCTGGATTTGCATTTTGCACCATGTCTTCTTGGATCGCGGCTCCGCTGGTGGCTTTAACCGGGCTGCTGCTGTCACTTTCGGCCGGGGCTGATGTGAAGGCTCGGAGCTGCAGTGAGGTGCGGCAGGCGTATAGTGCCAAAGGCTTCAGCCTGGTCAATATACCCTTTCAGGAAATAGCAGGTAAGGACCAAGGGTGGGCGGGATGGGATGGAGGGGGAGGATGTGGCGAGGAAATGTGTCTGCGTGTGGTTACAGCATCCCACCAGCTTCTCCTTCCTCTTTCCCTTCTGGATTAGTTGAAATGTTCTTCACTTTTGCCTGGTCTCTCTCCTGCTCCCCCGGGCTCCTTACCCAGAGCCCTGCACGCTGGGCGGCTGGGGTCGGGAGCCGGGGCCATGAATTGCCTCATTGTGTGTACACAGTGAAATTTGGTTTGTCTTTTTTTTTTTGCTCGGGACAGTCTGACAGGGACGGGACCCTCCAGGAAAGCGCGCGCCAGAGGAGGGGCAGGCTCTGGGAGGGAGGGAGCGCTCAGCGCCCCAGCCGCGGTTACACGGGTGGCCTTTGGAAACTTCTTAGAGTTGCTGCTGGGTTATTAAAGCCAGAGAGCCGTCCTGATGGTGGGTCCTGCCTCCACTGCCCGTTCCTGCGGGGAGACAAGTTTGCCCTTTGCCAGTAGGGGCCTCGCGGGGATGGGGTTCTCCCCACTGCCACCGGCGGGCTCCTCTGCCTGCAGTTTGAATCAATTTCTGGTTCACTAGAGGATCTGCTCATACATTTGGGTTTTACGTGAGGCAGAATTTACAAACACAGCGAAAGCGACTCTTCTCATTATAAACATGACTCCGGTTAATCAAGTCTCAGCACAGACTCCCACGAGCGAGCACTGAAATCAGCCCCAACCACCAGATTCCTCCACCCCCAACCAAGAAAAGGAGGGGAACCTGGGCAGCAGCAGCTGCTGGGGAGAGTTTCCCTGCTGTTCTGAAACATTGTTACAACAGGTTCATTTCAACCCTTCTTTCTAAAACAGGGATTTTTTTTCAGTTTATTTGCTAGCTTTTAGCTCCAACCATATATTCATTGCATCTCTAGGACTGACTGAATAAAAACGTGTCCGGGAAAGAGAATCTTTTGGCAATCGGAGAGTAGAGCAAAAGAGAGGCAGGGGGATGACTCGGAAATGCACGGACTTGGGCTGCTCAAGCCCTCCGGAGAGTAATCCGCTTTGCGAACTCCTAACACTTTGCTGCTTGATTCTCCTGTTTGCGCCGTGAATTGGGCACTCCGTGGTTTGTTTCCTCGTTTTTTTAAAAGTTGGAAGCAGTGAATTTTTCTCTCTTTGGATTAAATAATGCCAGTGCTGCTTACTGTTTATTATCTGGCTCTTTATCATCATGATGTAAACAGTGTGGTGCAAACATCTAAAGATCTTAAACGTGCCAATCCATAGAACAGGAATGCTGTTCCACAATATCGATACATAAGGGTCCTCCAGATCCCCAGGTGTAAATGAACATAGCTCCACTGAGTTCCCTGGAGCCATAATTAAGAGGCACACCAGCTGAGGATCTGGCCCATTGACACATTTTGGACAGGGAGGGGAGAGTGAGGGGCCTATACTTGTGGCAATTTAGAGACCTCTTTTCCTCCAGCTCAAGCTCTTGCTCTGCTTTCTGTGCCCCTTTTGGATTTCTTCTCGAATTGCTAATCAATTAGCTCTTCTGTGAGCCACATGCCCTCCGAGTTTCTCAGTCATGCTTTCCCTTCACTTACCGTAATTTTCTTCTCTCAGATTGACAGTGACAGGTCTAAAAATCCTAGTGAATTTCAAACTTTTAATGGCTTTGAGTTGATAGTTCTTGTTTTCAGCTCACCCAGAAGTGTTAGTTTCTTCTCCACTTTTTATTTTGTATTTTTTAAATCAATTAAGAGTGGCCATGCAGTTTTTAAAATATCTTCCTTAAGTGTCAATTGAACTTACAGGTTTCTATTAGTAAGTATTGATACCTAATGATTGGTTGCTAGTCAAATATTCATAAATAATCATAGTTAAAGCCATGATTTCTCTTATCATCTCCTCTTTTATGCTTGTGGAATACAAAATTGATGCAGCTGTATATGTTATTTTTCCTAAGCATCCTAACTTTAAAATGCAGTTGGCTTTCCTTAATGTTTAACTATTTTGAATCTGGGTGAGATGATACTTTTAAGCAGCTTACTTGTAGACTGTGGTATACTTGATTGTTGGGGAGACTGTGATTATATTGTGTTTAGGTAATGTGTTTAACAGTATGCTGTTTTGCACATGCTGCTGAGTGCTTTTGTAATAATTGCTTGGGAAGGCTACCCTGTTGTTGAATGGAATGCTGTCTATTTGTCATTAGATCTAATTATTATAAGCATTTAATTACAACAGCCAACATAAGGATTTTATGGTGCTTGGTTTGCTTGTTTGATTTATTTTCCTTTCTGGTCCTTTTTTGACTTACATGAACTATAATTGCTGGTCAGTGAAACAATCTATTGCAGCATTAGTGTGTCAAGGTGCATCAGATTTCATACATTTGAGTAACTGCTTTATTTTCAAAGGAATTCGATGTTGATCATTTGATAGTATGATTGAAAAGTAAATGATGCATAGTTTTATTTGTGTTTTTGGAGTTTAATATAGTTACACTTTAACTTTTGTTTTTTAAGAAGCTACCTTTTCTGCATTGGACTATTTGAACACATATATTAATGCAAGGTGTTGAAAAATATGCTAAGCTTGTGTAAATAAGATGGGTTCCTCCATGTCTGGTACCTAAGTTAAAATCACTTGCAAAACAAAATTTGTTGAATACCAGCACACCTTATATACATAAATTAATATTAATACACCATTGTTATTGGGATTTGCTTCTTGTAGTAAACCTACCCCCCTCCTCCCAAGCCAAGACTTTTTAGATAAGCTCTGTTCACACTAGTACTTCTCTTATTATTTTTAAAAGTTTTGGGGAAAATATGTTTTTTTCATAATATTTCTAGTGTTACATATGCACTGTAAGACTGTTTTTTCTGTACAGTATTTTGATGCAAATGAAATATGTGTTCAAGTCAATGATAATGTGATTATAATGAGTATATTTATTTGCAATTATATTGTAGGCTCCTATTTTAGTGCTAAAGTGTTCAATGCGACTTGTGTAGTACCTATCAAATGTAGTGACTGACCCTACAACCCTAAATATCCTGGGTTTTTGGGGATGTTGCTCATTGAATTCCAGTGCTGCAAACTACTTTGGAGTATTGCACAGAGAGGTATTTTCAAGCACTTAGGGCCAAATACTGGTCTTGTGGCAAAGCCCCAGTAAAAAAAACTTTGCCTGGGAGTGTCTTGGTGGAAGAATCCTCACTCATGTGTTATCACTGAAAGCAATATTGCAATACATATAATATTGATACAGATTTTCTTCCAGACATCAATATCCCTGGCACAGGTGACAGTAGCTTCAGGATCTACTCAAGGATACCACAGTAAAACCTGTCCTCTTGTAAAACTGCTAGTGAATGAATTCCATCTCTCATAGATGCGATGAGAACATTGCATCAGAGTGTCACAAAATAACCTTTGTGTAAAAATATTGAAAGGATAACGAATTTGTCTATTTAAATGATGGTGTCATGAATACAATAAAATTATTGTATGTACCGAGTACACTTCTTCAGGCTTCTTGTGGAGGATGGTGTTATTGTGTGTGTATGTAAGAATATCAGAATCTGACCCTTTAAGATATTTTATATGAAAGTGAAATGTCATAGTAAAAAAATCTGTCAACAATACTTGTTAAATTCAAACCACGATTTCAGTAAGCATCTGACTTAAGGCAATGAAAACTGAAAGTTCAAAGTTAAAGTTGGAGCATGTCCTTAACTCACACTGTTCAGAATAAAATGCTTCACAATTTAAAAGCCAAGGCGGTGTCTGAATTATGCTTTTTCTATTTAAATGAGATCCTTAGTCTCATTTAAACCTCTTTGTTCAGTTCCTTTGTTTACTTAAAAAATGAAGTATTTTATAGCAACATTTGAAATACAGATTGTTTACCAAAGAGATCAGGATGTCTGTTTTGGAGTAAATCTTGAATAACTGAGTAATTACAGTGCTCCTTGGAAAAATTATTGAAAGGTTTGGAGTTCTAAATATTACTTCAAAAGTCTGTAAGTCTGTTCTCCTGTGGAAATGAAGAGCAGGATAAGATTCAGTCAACCAAGAGGCACTACGGTGAAATTAGTGAGATCAGAATCCAGCCCTTTATTTTGAAGGTCAGGAGTCTCCTAAAGTTAACTTTGACAAAGTGTCTTTACAATGGTGAGATAGGGAGCACTGGATTAAAGAAAAAAAAAGCCCCTTCACCACCCAAAACAAAACAAACAACTCCAGCTTCTTGTAGGCCCTAAAACAATAATTAAAACTACTGCATAATTATTCATGTAATTGAGATGTTAATTTGTGTCAGAAGCACCCAAAAAGCTTTTTCTTAGTGTTTCCCCCTTCTTACTTATCCTTAGAATGCAATGACTGGTTGCCAGAAGACCATTGAGAAAGCCTGGTGGTCAAACTAGTGTCAAGCAACTTATTATTTAGTTATAAGTTCTACTGCCATCTCCATTGAAGTCAATGGGAACTCTGTGAGCAGAGTGGCTGTATAACTGGACACAAAGGGAGATTGAAAAAGGCTAAGGACCTGCTTCAGATCTCTGAACAGTACAAATCAGAAGTAATGACTGAAATCAGTGCAGTTATACTGTTGTAATTTTGTGAAATCAATATTGGGCCCTTAGAGACTAATGCATCCTTGAACTGTGCTCAGTGCAAAGACTGAAGTGGGGATGGGATTTTATGTGATCTTTGCACTGCCCCTGTACTAGAGCTGCCATAGCCTGGTTTAGCCTGGTGCAAGTTAGAATAGCCTTGTGGGCTGCCCTAACTTGTGTCTGGCTCATGATCCCTATGAACCATTCCAATAGCCAGGACATAAAATAATGCTGTTGTCACGCCTTCCCACTTTGGTAATGCCCCGGCTGATTACCTGCTCTGGAGGCTTCTTTAGGGGGTGGGGAGTGCCTGCTATTCTGACTGCAGCAGCTGGGAATACCCAGTGGAGGAACTATTATGGCAGCTTTACAACCACTTA